GTGTGTATGTGTGTGTGTGTGTGTGTGTGTGTGTGTGTGTGTGTGTGTGTGTTATCAAACAGGACTTACCAGATGCTCCAATCCTGCTTTCATGCTCACAGCATCCCTGCAACACAAAGGGACATTTACAAACTATAAGGAAAGTTCACTCAAACAAAATGATCAATTTTCCATGAATTATTTTATTGACTCTATGCCAGAGTCTTGAGCAGAATATTGCTGCCGTGTGGATGTAGCACAACTTCCCATAGTTTACATCCTGTTGTTCTTTCCAGAGCAAGCCAGATTCGATGGAATCAACAAGTAGTAAAATCCATTTTGCCTCAATGGATTCAAGACGCAATTATTCACGAATTCCAGCAGGTAAATTATTTACTGTAAGTGATTATTCGGCCCATCCCAAAACAAACTGTTCATCAAGGACACAGTAGTCGGGAAAAGCCGACTAAAACAGCAGAAATTTATTTGGGATTGATCCGAGGCAGTTTAAATGGGGACAGATGAGTGCACACTCTAATTTAACATCACTTTGAATGTGACTGTTAAATTTTGAGCAACCACATTCTAAGTTACAAGACGGTGTGCTCACTTGAGCAGCTACAGTATCTCTGATTCTCAATTGTTATTTTTACTTCCTGTCTTAAAAAGATTCCTTTCAAAATTGAGTTGTACAAGTTAAAGGTCATGGTGGAAAAAGGATTTATCTTATTTAATCACAAATACACACCGTGACAACATTCAAGCACACTTGAAAAACTAATATCTGAACTCTTTGGTTCGTTCCGCCATTACAGCGGCATTGATGAATTACAAAATGCCTCTCACCAGTTAAATGAGCGTAAATACCAGAAGATTGTCATTTTACATTTCCAATTAACTTCAAGGTGTATACAAGACAAAATGTTCTTCAAGGTTTGATTAACACCAGTTAATTGTTAACGATTTCAATGTTTTTAGCCCTACTTTGACCAATGACAGGAGTCATGATGGGGAAGGTTTTGAAGAGAGCAGATAAAATGCAAGTAACAAAAGCATGAAGATTATCAAAAGATGTCTTGCTTTGTTGTCTATATTTTTTAGTCTGGCCAAAACCACGGAAAGCTTATAAATCAGGGCAAGACTATAATCAAGTTTATAATTATTCCTAAAAATTAAAAGAATGTGTTCTAAACAGCAGAAGCAGTAGAATGGCAAGTCAGAAAGCGTGCATGCGAGTGTCCGTGTGTGCGCACGTGAGGCTGAAGAAGGGACAGGCAAATTGGCAGTAAATAATAGATGCAATTTTGGCATATTTCAAATTTGCAGCAGTGGAAATCAAAAGATCAAGAGAATACAAACAGCCTCCGATCCCAGCACCCACAACCAACTATGGTCCCCATTACTGACAACTCTGTGTGTGTGCGTGTGTGTGTGTGCGCGCGTGCGTGCGTGTAGAGAAGGGAAGGCTTATCGACAGGCGTCAGTTGCTAATGCAGCCAAGCTGCATCATAGTGTAAATCTATACCATCTCTAAAATTACATACTAACACACCCCCACCTGCCCTTCCCCTTCTCTCCCAAAAATCCATCCCACTATCCACCTATCACACCGGGCTTCATAAATGTGGTCATCCCCACATCATTAATTTAAAATAAGGTTTGATGGAATGATATGAAGATATCAAAACTGATATAAAAAAAAAAAAAAAGACTATGATGGAGAACTGCAGAGAAAAAGTCAAGGCGCTGCACAGTGTCATGCAATGTTAATCATCAGAAAAAGACCATGTCTGAAATAACGTCAAATGAAATTTTCACAACATGCAATAGGTCGATTTAACTCATTTCAGACTATTTATGTGCATTAGTAGGTGCTGCCGTTTTGGTGAGTTCAAATGGGCTCGTCAATTTACACTGTTTCAAGTGGCCAACCAAGCTGTGTGACACAGTCAGGCAGACGAGATTAAGACTGGCTTTAACCTTTTCCTTGGAGGGGGGTATTTGTTGAGAGGCGTTCATATGTTCAAGTGGATGATACGCCAAGAAACTACTTTGTAACTGTGACATGGCAATGATTAAAGTAGGAGCCACTATTTGAGTAATTATGATTAGAAAGACTGGTAGCTCGCTAGATAGATGGCGTCTCATATCGAACGCTCATCGTTAATACTCTATTTTATGGCCTTGTCAAACTACTACTTGGGCTTTTCAAATAACATTTTTTGTCGTTCAAAACGGTCACGCTGTCAGACTACCAGATAAATATCGATCTGTGTCTTGGACCGGGTGAGATGTCACACTACAAGTCTGTCACCGACCAGACCCTGCACAATCGTTGCATGCTTCCATCTGAAGATTCAGTCCATCGGTGCAGGTTCGTCGGGGAGGCAGGACAGGCAGCTGTCAAAGTCAAGTCAACGGGGGCATTGTGTGAGCGTGAAGCGTCCCAAACGCCTAATGACCAATCGAATGTGTGTCACGCAACACGGGCTATGACGCATCAAGACAACACAAAATTGTCTATCAGCACACCACATTTGTCTGCAACACGTCTGACAGCTCTCAAAATCAGGCTACATTCATGTAGTGTGATGTCGGCATTAGAAGTGCTCAGGCTTCAGTAGGTACTGATGTTTAGATGCGCAACATTGTTCAAAACGGATCAGCGGTGCTCGTTCGTGAAGAATAACGTCCATAACCATGAGGAAAACCATTTTTTTATGAGTTAGGTCTGACAGCTGTTTTCAACAAATGTTCAGCTGCTAAAAGTAAGTAAAGAAAAAGGCAGAAAATAATAAATAAAAAGAATTTATGGAAAAAAAAAAAAGGTTCCCCAGTGTAATCTCCAATAATTACTATAACTATTCTTTTTGCCCCAAGGGGCAAAATGGAGACATCTATTTGAGGTAGGTGTTTATTTGTTCAAGATAGACAGATCAATGGATAGATAAATTCCCTTGAGGAAAATTAAGAAAATATGAAGCTGCAATGAAAGTAGAGGGTCAAAAGGTGGCCATGAAAGCCTGTTTGTTGTTTATTCCGTCTTCTTGGCAGCACAAAGTCGACCACTTAAGGCCAACTTCATCTGGACTGTAATTACATTACATTGTGACAAACACCGCACGGCGGGCACTCAGCGAGACATTTGTTTCCGTGGTGACAGTGTGTGTAATCCGCTAATGAAGCGCAATTAGTGGGGAAACAATCTAACAGAGGGGAGACACAGACACGCTCCCATTCCTCCTTCCCCCACCTCCTCCTCCTTCCTCTTCCTCCACCAGCATCCTTTCACTTTCTTCTCTCCTTTTGTTTTTGGCAACATATAACTTCATGATTCAAAATCTAATTTTTAATGGCATTTAATCGGGCACTCTTTTTAAATGTTGTCCTGACTTCATGAAGCAAGACAGTGAAGGTAGTAATCCATTTTCCATGCTTCTCCGTGTGTTCAAAACATCATATCATCTGATGAGGTCTAAAGAGAGCGAGCTCTCCATTTCTGCTCCTCCTTTTGCTGTCCTCACCCTCCTTCCTCCCCTGTGCCTTCCACGCAGCAGCGGCATTGATTTCTGAATTACGCCGCAATATTAAATAATTAATATACTTGCCGTGATTGATGTTTTGCATTAGGCCCATATTAGGTTATCAATCAAAATCCACTTGGTTTAATGTAATAATATTGAAAATGTGTCAGTGCCAGTTCATCCAATTTGTAGCGGAGGCAGGCCAGATAGTAATGGTCGGTGTAACACAAGGCCTGGGAGACGCGGTGGCCTTGCTCGCTACAACCATCGTGGAACATTACACAGCTGGCATACCGCCGCAGTAGAAATGGAAGAGAATAAATGACGGGAATTGGGAGGCTGAGGAGTGTTATATCCTTCACTGCGATAAACTTGACACAATGAGAATGTGTGTAAAAATCACATATCTTTATACAAATTAAACATTCGAGAAGTTCAGTTGTGCATTTAAAATCCATTTCAGAAATGTCATTAGTAAAATGTGCACCATTTAATCTGCTTTAAACTACCAAAAACTCTGCGTTTAAAATGTAAAAACACAGAGTATTACAACTACCCACTTGACCAAACAGTAAAACATATTTTGAAAGCAAATCATCACATACTCACACGCAGGCTTGAGCCAACTTGACTTCAACCCACTCGGTTGTGCTTCTTGAAGGTACATACCGAACACACAGATATTACACAACATACAGTAGTTTCTATGATAGTTATGCTTGCATTTTTTTGTGAGTTCAAATGAGTTTACAGTGTGTTTAAAAAGTGTTTTTGAATATGAGAGGGGTAAAACCATAAAAAATTATTATTTTTTTTTAATGGCCTCAATATCAGATTACCACATACAGCAGTTGGGTTTGGAACATGTCCCCTGCGATAAACAGAAAAGTCATTAATATTTTACAGTTCATGAGATAAAAAACGGACACGATTTCCACGTGTGTTTTTTTTTTTTTAAGTGAAACTATTTGAAATTTTGGCATTTCAGAAAGAGAGATGAAGTCGACATAATTTGCTTTGGCGGGCCTATGACTTTTGACACCAGTGGATTAAATGATCAAAATTTCTATCAATTGTGATTAATTGACTTGACTGCTCATGTCTGAAAGACGACAAAATGACGACAAACAACAGATGCGCTGTTGATTGATCCCAACTAGTTTGCTGTCTCAAAAAGTCCAACATGACATCATCTCTGGGAAGTTGAGCTCCAATCATTACTCTGCTCAACATGACACCCGTGTGTGTGTGTGTGTGTGTGTGTGTGTGTGTGTGTGTGTGTGTGTGTGTGTGTGTGTGTGTAGTGTGGTTCGTGCTAAACCGCCACTTGGTGACTTGAAAACAGGTAAATTGAAACAAAGTTTATTTTTTAAAGCAAAGTAAGTGACAGTGAGAGTGCTGATGTTAATTACGATGGTCAATTAAGTGAAGCTGGACAAACAAACAAAGCAAAGCGAAGGAGGTCAATACTGACCAATTTAACGTGGTGGCTCGATCCATCACAGTGTCGGCACCTCCCCGATTGCCCATTCTTCGGGTTCTTTTAGGCTGGATTGAGACTGAAGTGTCCAATTCTGATGCAACGCTTCTTTAATGTCAATTT